TTCTTGGTCATCCAGGGCCAAATCTGAGAGGGGGAGGAGGAGCCTGGGGTCTTTAAGGGCCGTCTTCACATTCAGGAACTTAAACCAGAAGCCTCTGAGTTTCCTAGGCACCTGCACACTCCAGAACCTCGCAACTGGTCCGAGAAGGTGAGGAACTGGAACTCTATGGAATAAAAGCAAAATGCTGGACACAGATGTTGTGGGAGCTTGAGTCTGTTCACTGGGATTAAGATGCACATACTGCTGATGGAAATTTACTTAAAGGATGGAAGGAGGGTGAGCCCTCAGTGAAGGGAAACAAAGTCTTTGCTCAGATGCCAGCTACTTCGAGTAAGGGAACAAGAGAGGAAGTCAGCACTGCCATGGCTAACCCGTGGGAAGGGTGAGGAGTGCCCTTGGGAAGAGCCCTGTACACTCAGGTTTCCCTGCAGCAAGGCCTCTCTTCTTTTTCTCCCTTCTCTCCATGCACCAAATTGCCCCTGAAAGCAAAGGAGATAGTTTGTTTAGCAGTTTCCACCCTGATACAAATACAATCTGCTGTCACAGCCCAGGGATTAATGTCCTGAGATGGGATTATGTTGTAGTCAAACAGGAATTGAATGGGGTGGGTATGCAGTATCAAAAAGAGCAGTGACCCTTTTCTTGGGAAGCATTAGAGCCAGAGATCAATCTCTGGTCATGACATGATCAGGCCTTGATGAGACTTGTGCATGGAGATCTTGCCTAAGGTTCAGCTGGAATTAGGGCCAGGGCTAGTGGTGTAAATGTGGGTGATCCCTCATGGCTGTTGGCACAGGGCCTCTGCCCCATGATAAAGGAAGACTTCCCTCAGCCCGAATCCCTGCACTTCCTTAACACACAAGCTTGGGAAAGCTGCACCAGCAACCCCTTTGCCTCCATCCTCCCCAGGGTCACAGGAAGAAGACAGTTTGATGTGTGTGTTTCACTTGCCCTTTCTGTGGCGGTAGCTCCAGCGCATCCATGCACTCACACAAGCACCCCATGATCCATGTAGGGGTGCTGGCTAGTTCCTGGCTTGATGAGGACATGTTGGGGGTGAGGGGCCAATATGCACATCTCTGGGTTGCTCTGCCCAAAGTTGGCTTGGGTGATTAGACTGATGGCCTCCTGACGTCAGATGAGATCCGTTAAAAGGTATTTATCTCAGGCTTGGGCCAAAGCCGGGGGAGAGATTAAAAGAGATTGAGGCCAAGATAATCCCCTCGCAGCATCCCACTAAAGTGGCTGCCAAAAGGCACGCCACCAAATCTTCTGCCACCCCTAACCCCTATGCCCAGTTCTGGTTCCCCCATACAGAGCCCAGTTTGCTGCCCAGAGAGGGGGTGAGCCTGCTGCTGCCATTGGTTCTCCCTTTGCAAGGCCACTGTGGGTGGCTCCATCCCTCTTCCCACCATACCCAGCACATGAGTGGTGGCACGCTGTCCCTGGGAAAACGGGAATTCCTGTGCACTGTGAGATGCAGCAAGCCCTGCCGCTGTGGCTGGTTAATCCTGGCCTCTTCTGGCTAATCTGCACTTTATTAGTTGCTGATATGAACAGGAGGAGTCCAACACGCCCATGATGGCTTCTTTCCCTTCAGGAGCACTGTGCTACTCTCTCTTTTCACCCCTCCCCATCCCACCTGCTTTGCATTACGTCCCAATCCGATTTCCCCAAGTCTCTGGTGTCTGATTTAATTTGCCTGACGCTGCTCCTGGAATCAGCCCTCCCCCAACCCCTCCCGTCCACAGCCTTCCCATGGGGAGATCAGTCCCGGGAGAGGCTGAGGAGCAGAGCGGGAGCAAGGGACTCACTGTGCAGACGTGCTGGACCGAGTGGACACCACGCAGTGACAAGGGGCTTCTGCCTGGCGGGGAGCTGTATATCAGCAGGGGAAGGAGGCCGTGAGGGTCCCATCCAGAGGGGACCACAACCCACCGGTAAGGATGCTGCCTTCTTGGGATGCCTGAGGTCACCTTGGTGAGCCTGAGTTTCTTGGTGTGGTTTTGTAGGGAGTCTTTGTACAAGGGCTGATTCCAGAGGATGTGGGAGGGAAGATGATGGCGGGGAAGGGATTTGGGTTAGCACTGAGATGTCTTGATAATGATGAAGGGTTTTGCACCGGGACGGGGTTGCTTGTTCTCCCCTTGGCAGGTGAATCTGACCAGTTTCCGGACTGGAACAGGGGGGTTACACTTCCTCTGAGGGACCTGGTACTCACTATGGTACGCAGTCCTGCACTCGTGATGCACCACTGTGCGCACCTCTTTGCAGCTGACTGCTTTTATGGATGGAGAAGGAGCCCTCAGAAAGTAAGGAGCAGAGCAGGGTAATTTTACCCTGGCCTTTGATCTCCATCGCAGGGGAGAGGGATCATCTCTGTATCCGGCTCTGCAAGGAGCCCAGGGTCACCAGGGCGAGCATGCGAAGCCCAGCTAGGGATTACACAGAGCCCCAGGGCTGCTGCCTATTAATGTTCAGTCCTCCCTCCTGCACCTTTCCCTTTCCTACCCACAGCCCTCCTGAAGAGGGACCACTCCCTCCCCAGGGAGGGGATAGCTGACTGGAGCATAGGAAATAAGGGGGTTCACCTCCCCTTTCTTCCCAGCCATCACTTGTGCCGTTATCCCCACAAGAGTGATGCAGGTGGCTCAGTAGGACAGCCCCTGGGGGTCCCAGCCATAGCATGGTGCAAGGGATGCAGCAAAAGGTGAATGATTCTGGATCTCTATCATTCTCACAGCATAGTAGAGGCGTTTGGTCTGCTACAAACACACTCAAGGGCTCAGGATGGGTCTGGCTGCCCGCAGAGAGGAGCGCTACAGCATGTGCCTCCAGCACGCATGTCAGGGGAGGCAGGAGGGGAAAGGACTGTCGTGTCAGAGAGCACAAGAATGAAACCTGGTTTCTAAAGCCAAGAACTGTGAACTGGATGAGCACAGCCAAGGCAGAGCTCAGAAGAGGGCTCTGGACCAGTGCTGGTGCAAAGATCCTCCTGGCAGTAGCTCTTTGCAATGCGGATGGTGATGGATTGATTTTCCAAGAGTACCTAAGGACTTGGTTTCCTCTCCTGCTTAGCATCCACATGCAAGAGCCCTGACTTTGAGAAAGCATCAAGTATGCACCATTTGGAAGCCTTTCCTGTTAAAACCAGCCTGGGCAGCTACCATGAGAGACCATGAGCTGAGCTGTGGATCCACAACAAACGTGCAACCCTATGGTCCCACTGGTCATGGCAGGAACACGCCTTGGCTTGACTCCAAGCTCCATTCCTCTTTCCTCTGTTCTTCCCCCATTTGGTTCCCCCATTTCCTGTCCTAAATGTACATGACCACGAGGAGCTGCTCTTTTGCATCCCCGCCATGGTGCTCCTGGGAGGCAGCTGAGGACCAGGTAACTCACTCTTCACCACCTGCAGTGGGATGTGATGGCTGGAGGCGACAGGCAAAGCTGGAGCTATTATTATCGCTCATCTGTGGCTCCTTGTCCTTGTGAGGCTGAGAACAATTCCCAGCTTCATTTAGAGTGTTCTCCCAGAGGGATTTAAAGGGTCGGACAGAGTCCTGAACCTGAACTGCACCTTCTCTATATTTAGCCCTTTTTATCCCCTTAGGGCTGATGGAGGGAAAATAGAGGAAGGGGAAGGAGTGGACCACGATGGTAGGGCTGTTCTTCACAGCGTGACTGGAAGTTCAGGTTTGCCACTTGGTGTGTTGGTAGGCAGTGACCAGAGCTGGATGCAGCCTCTGCAGCTTGACTGCACACTGAAACTGAGGGGCAAACCCCACAAGATAAGGAGGATGCTTCCTTCCAGAAGGCCTTCTGAAAGCTGAAAGGCCTTCCCCAGCATGTCCCCAGTCTGTCACTTAGCTGAGAGGTGGTGTGGGGTGCCCAGCCCCTTCCCAAAGGGTAAGTGCATGGAGGTGAGCTTCTATGCCCAGCATCACCCAACCAGGTGCAGCTATGCATCTTTGCTGTTCCCTCATCACTGTTCTGCCTAAAGGATAGAGAAAAACAACAGTGAAAAGGGCACAGCTCATGTGCAAGGTGCAAGCCTTTCTCTGCAAATAAAGCCTCCCCCTGGGATAGGATCATGCTTTCCAGGAGCTAAGGGAAACCTGCATCCCCCTGTATTTCCCAAAGTCAAAACCACGCTGCAGGAGTCATTGACCAAGCAGAAACTCACTCTGCCTGGAGGAATAAAGCAAAGCCATGGAGGCATTAGGGGAAGGGATTCTGGAGGGGAGCTCAGAGAGCTCTATGAAGCAGCAAGCAAAGATGAGACCTGGGAGATACCTGCATGAGCTTGCCCTCAGCAAGAGTGCAGCCTGGCATGGCAGGACCCAAAACCCCGTTGGCTGGAAGGAATGAGGCCTTCACACAGCAGGCCAGAGGGGGATGGAGGTGGTGTGACCCACATGGATTAGGAGGTTGGCCTTGGGGCAAAGCACTGGTTCTAATGGTGAACAACATGTAGAGCATTTCTGAACACTCACACCTACCCCGGGGAAAGACTGAAGCAATTGAAGACCCAATTCAGCTACAAGAGTGGGAGATGCTGGAATCACTGGGGAAGTTTTAAGTGCACACAAAGGAGAGGAGAGAGCTGCTGCGTGTACCTGGATCTTGGATATGGATTGCAGTTCTGGTTCGCTGCTCTCTGCAAAAACACATCATCTACACTCTGTAAACAACCTAAAAGGGCTTAGAGAACAAAAGGAGGTAATGGAATGCAGTGACTTACATGGGAGGAATGACTAAGTGTGCTCTGCAGTCTGGAAAAGAGATGGATGAAGACAGATATGACAAAGATCTGTAAAATACCAAGTGATGCTGGGGTGAATAGAGACTAGTTACTTGGTGATTCTTCCAACTCAAAAGCTAGGGACCACCAAGTGGAACTAGTGCCTTTGTGGAGTAACAGAACCAAGCTTCTACCTGAGGGGACAGAGGATGCTAAACTTGATATAGGCACAAAAACTGAATAGAAGAAAATTCCATCAAGGATTTTCAACTAATGCTGCCTCTAGCTTTGAACATCAATGAAGAGCTGGGGCTAGGAAAGTAGGAGAAATACCACTATCTAATTATGTAGGTCCTTACAGATCTTTTTCCCTTGATGGTCAAAGATCACCCCCCAGGTGGACACTGCCTGGTGATGCTTTTGCCTAGGACAAATGATCTGAGACAGCCACGGGGCTCCTCCTCCTGGATCTGAGTGGGACAGCTTGGCCACGGACAGGAAGAAGAAGCCAATGAGGCAATCCCAGAACTTGGCAGGGCTTGGGATGGAAAGATTGAAACCAAAGAGGTGAGGGGACAAGAGTGGCCAGAACCCCCGTCAGAAGCTCTAGAGGTCTTCAGCTTCTCAGTGTATGTGTAAGCAGGATACCAGACCAAACAGACCTTTGGTCAGGCCAAGTATGATCTTGCTAAAGGCTTTGATCAGCTACAGCACGTTACCAAGCACTCAGGCAAGAAATGGTTGCGCAGCTTTTATTAGGGGTGCCTACGTTTGCATAACTGAGCAGTCACATCAGTGCCTTTTCCATTTCAGACCTCTCTCCCTGGATTTCTCTTCCCAGAACCAAGGTTGCCCCACGAGGAAGAGCCACCCCTAGGTCAGAAAGATGGGGGAAATGGAACAGATGAAGCAGGAGGCTGAGCAGCTGAAGAAGCAGATTGCGGTAATGTTGGCAACAGTCATGAAACTGTTAAGAGGGCATCTACCCCCTGTCCATGTTGTTCTCCTCAGCCACAATGTGGGGTTGTGCTTTCTCCATCTATATACTTGAGCCCATGACGTTCTGCACAGACCTTTAAGTGCTGGTAGAGATCATCACAGTATGGTCGGGGGAAGAAAGGGAAAGAAAAGGATTGAAGGGACACTACAATAATGAGAAAGAAGTAGCTACCAGAATTGTGTCTGCACAGGGCCAGAGTGTAGTGTGTCCCCATGGCCTCTGTTCTGCCAGCTGGGAGGACCCATTGAAAGGGTGTCCCTTGGGGCACTGGATGCTGAGCAGCTTTTGGCTCACCCTTCTGATGTTTGACTGGTGCCAAGGTGCTCTGGTCACAGACCAGGATCTCCCTGTGCTGGCCACAGTCAAAACACAGCAAAGCCGCAGTTCCTTCTTGTAGATTCCCCATGCTGTGCCCTCACATTCCACGTTGCCGTCATCACACATCTTCTTTCCTGACCCTCTGCTCTTGTCTCTCCTCCAGGATGCCCGGAAAGCCTGTGCAGACACAACGCTTGCTCAGGTAAGGACAGAGCTGCCTGGGCACGTGAGGGTGTTGGGGTGTCAGCCAGCACCGCTCCAAGGGGGACTGTCTGCAGTTGGGAATGGAGTTGGGAGGCAGTGATGGGGGAAGAATACAGCTCCTGAAAGTCCCAGGTGAATTCTTCCTCTGCCCCTGTTTCCTCAGATCGTGTCCGGTGTGGAGGTTGTTGGCCGCATCCAGATGCGGACCCGAAGAACCCTGCGTGGGCACCTGGCCAAGATCTACGCCATGCACTGGTCCACAGACTCCAAGTGAGAGACATGCTGGGTGCAGGGCAGCACATGGGTGTGAAGGGCAGGAAGGCTCTAATGGGAAGAGACCTGTTAACTTGATCTTGTTCCTCTCTTAACAGACTTCTGGTCAGTGCCTCACAAGATGGGAAACTGATCGTGTGGGACACGTACACAACTAACAAGGTAGGAGTCGGATGGCTGCAGCAAACCAGGATGCTGACGTGGGTCCCCTTGGAGCTAATGTTCTTCTCCTGCTCTCTCTGCTGCCAGAAGCCTGATGTGGTTTCTTGTCCTCCCAGGTTCATGCCATCCCTTTGCGTTCTTCGTGGGTCATGACCTGTGCCTATGCCCCCTCGGGCAATTTTGTGGCCTGTGGAGGCCTCGACAACATGTGCTCCATCTACAGCCTCAAGACTCGTGAAGGCAATGTCAAAGTGAGCAGGGAGCTCTCAGCCCATACAGGTGGGTGTGCTCCCTGCCTGCAGCCTGCGTGCCCTCTGCTTCCAAACCTCACTCCTGTAGCCCTGTCCTATTTCTTATATTTGCTTGTTCCCACCTCCCTCCCAGGTTACCTCTCCTGCTGCCGATTTCTGGATGACAACAACATCGTGACCAGCTCTGGAGATACCACATGGTGAGCGTTACCTTCTGCATCTGCATCCCAGTGGTGTGATCTCTGGTGCCTAGAGGCCAGTGCAGTGCTTTAGCTCTATAGCAGTCCACTAAGGACTAATTCTAGTAGGAGACACATGGAGGCCACAAAAAGCACCTTGGGAAGCCATATTCGTTCTTCCTCCAGAACACGTGCTTCTTATCCCAGTGGACAACAAGCCAAAATGCAGGTCTCTTGATGAAGCAGTAAGCATCATCTTGTCAGCTCTCACAAAGCACAGTGTCATGACAGAAAACAAGATCAATTTATGTGGAAGAACCTCTTGACTGAGGATGAGACAGGATGTAGCATTTCCATCAGAGATCAAGTTGCCTGACTGCAACATGGGATCCCAGCAAACATGGCCCATGCATCCTATGAGTGTGGATACAGCAGACCTTTGTCACCTGGTTGCCTGTGGGGTCTTCTTAACTTTCTCTCAGTATCTCCTTCAACTGTTGCAGTTATGGGTATAGGGTCAAACCTCACACAACCCTAGCCTTAGTCTAGCTCTGCTTTGGCAAAGGTATGACTAGTAACAGCTGTGAAGACATCTCCTGTTGAATACAGCTGACTCCAGGGATAGCCTCATTTTCCCATGCTTAGCCAGACTCATGGCTGCCCTCCTTTTGTCTGTGAGTGCGCAGCTCTTTAGCCCATTTGTAGCTCTGTTCTGCCTGGGATGGCCCTGAGAACCTCTCTCTTCTCCCACAGCGCGCTCTGGGACATTGAGACAGGGCAGCAGAAGACGGTGTTCCTGGGTCACACCGGCGACTGTATGAGCTTGGCCGTCTCCCCAGACTTCAAACTCTTCATCTCTGGGGCTTGTGATGCCACAGCCAAACTGTGGGACGTGCGAGAGGGCACCTGCCGCCAGACCTTCTCAGGGCACGAGTCCGACATCAACGCTATCTGCGTACGTATGCTGGCTGCACAGTGCTGGGGAGGCAAGGAAAATGCACCAGCTCTGAAACAGGGTCTTGGGACAAGGTGAAAGAAGCTGTCGTAGCCATATAGGGAACAAGGGTCTCAGGAGACCTTCCTTGGCCCCATGATCCAGACTGAAGCAGGAAGAGCCTGAGTACACTTAATTTTGGAGGCTGGCTCTTCCTGGGGAGGTCTTCTGAAGATTAACTCTTCAAAGGAAGCAGCACAGGGCAACTACCCCCTCAGAGGGAAGGATTCAAACCAGAGCCCTAGAGGTAGCAGGACAAGGAGCATTAGTTTAACCCCATGTGGCTAACCAAATGAGTCTGCCAGCTTCCTGCAACGTCTGTTGCTCGAACCACGCTTCACTGGCTTCGGTTAGTACAGCTCTTCTCACCTCTCCCATGGGTGCCCTGCCATCCACACAGTTTCCTGCCATACCTGCCACTGAGGAGCCTTTCTTTGCTCCTTGTAGCAAGGACACAGGAGTGTCTATGAGAAGGTTGGGGTATGAGGACCAAAGGAAGGCTCTCGTATCTCTAAATCATGTCAGACCCCATCTGGCAAATCATGGGTGGACGCTTGTCAACCCCCAAAATAACAGCTGGAGTTGAGACACTGGTGTCCCTCCTCAAGATTATAGTGTCTTGCAGCAGCTCTAGCCCCTAGGTTGTTTTCTGAAGGTGGCATGGCTTTACTAGATCTTAGGATAAGATCTCCCCGTTCAGCAGACCGAGCTTTTACGATCCAGTGTTTTGTCCCACTGGGTTTTCCTACTTCCGTGGCTCCGTGGTGGCTAACAGGGAGGTGAAGAGGTGAGGAAATCTGTAAGGCACAGCCTAAATGAAACCTGGTGTGTGTCCTCCTCAGTTCTTCCCTAACGGGGAAGCCATCTGCACCGGCTCCGATGATGCCACCTGCCGCCTCTTTGACCTGCGGGCAGACCAGGAGCTCATCGTGTACTCCCATGAGAGCATCATCTGCGGGATCACATCCGTCGCCTTCTCCCGCAGCGGGCGCCTCTTGCTTGCTGGTTATGATGACTTCAACTGCAACATCTGGGACTCCCTGAAAGCAGAGCGTGTGGGTGAGTGGCTCCTGGGGGTGCTCCTTTCATTCCCTGCAAGGTTCTCTGTGCCTGCCAAGGCAAGGGAGAGGCCTTAATCTTTCCTAAAAGGGCACATCCTACACTGACTGAAACCCCACAAAGCTTCCTCGCACTTAAGGAGCACACCATAACTAATACAGCTTTCTTGTGTAGAGCTCTTTAATGCTAAGGAAGTCATGCGTGTCAACAATGTTGTTTCAAGGGGGAAAAGAGCATTAAGGTTCCTATTAGCTACAACTGCTCACAAGCACCAGTAGAATTTCCTACTTTTTCTCACCTCTGCCTTTTGCCAGTTCCAGCTACTCACAGTGCCACTTGATGGCAGGGTACCAGGCTGAGTATGCACCCGAGCTTCCATCCAACACCTTTGGGACGTTCATACATAGAATATACCCAAGTGCAATGTTCTTTCAGATGTGGCCCCTAGCCTCTGAATACTTAATACAGCCTATGCAGGAATAGCATAGCTATTTCTCAGACTTATCAAGGATGCCACATCCTTTGTTAGTCCTACCATTGCTCCAGGGTGAAAGCAGTTGTATTAGGATTCTGCTAGTCAGACCTTCCCAAGAATACTGCTTTTGGGCCAGTCCTATGGGTGGGTGGTGATTGCATGCCATGCACAAATGTTCTTCTGCATGTTTGTTCTTATTAGCCACATACTGATCATAACATGTTGTGTAACTATACACAGGGGTGTAGGTACAGTTTACAATGCATGTCCTCAGTATAGTCAACACTTTCATCGATCCCAGGTCCCATTTCTTTTCCTGACCTCTCTTTTTTCCCCCCATAGGAATCCTTTCTGGCCACGACAACAGAGTGAGCTGCTTGGGGGTGACAGCAGATGGCATGGCCGTTGCCACCGGCTCCTGGGACAGCTTCCTCAAGATTTGGAACTGAAGCCAGAAGCAGAGAGGGAAAGAGCAGCGGAAGCATGGTCCACAACCAGAGCCCATGCAAACAGCATTGTCAGCTGAGCACAACAGAAATGCCTCCTTATCACTCCCGCTTGTCTCTAGACACAGGTCGCTTGTAGGGGTCTCCCCGAGTGAAAGGAAAAGGAGAGTTTGGGGAGGGGAAGCTGGAGAGCAGGAACACACACTGGCCCTTCTCTTCACCTCTAAACAGGCCCAGCAGCTTCCAGCCTTGTGCAGGCTTGAACACCTGCAAAACACTGTTCATTGTATCTCAGGACTTTACATTCCAGTTCAGACACCCTGCGTCTTCCTTCAAACACCTCTACCTGCATCGACACCCATCCTTCAGAGGGCCCCTCATCCAGCACCTCTGTCCCAGACTTAACTCTACCTGTGCTTCTCTGTGCAGCTGTGCAGACAGCCTCAGAGACAGACTGGGTTTGAGAATTCTATCATACAACCTCAAACAAAAAGCTAGTGCAAATTGGGCTCATTTTCCACTGGGGAAGACTTAGCTCAAATCTTATCTATGCATAAATGAGGGAGAGATAGCCCTCAGGCCTGCTGGAATACCAGGAATCATTATATTTATTCTTATTTATTGTCTGCTTCTTGCTGTTCCTTCTCTTTTTGCCTCACCCCTGCATTGTGTGGTGACCCTGTCAAATCAGTAGCCATCAGTCCATTTTCAAGTCTGTTACAGACCTCCATAGCCCAGGCAAATAAAGAAAGCTCACATAAGCACAGCAGGCTGTGTTCTTTCCATCACTGCAATGAGCTACTGCAATCACTCTCTTCCTATGAATACTGTCTCCTGACCCCATCCAGATAGCATCTCACCCCCAGGCCTTGCTCTTCCTCAAAGTGCCCAGGGGTGGGTATTCCCCACCTATGTTTTCAGTTGAGAACATTGCACTGGGCAACCAAGGAACTCCTACTGTCCTATGACATAGGTAGAGTCAGCAAAGATTTAATACAAATTTATTTAATACAGATAAGAACAGTGCAGCAAGTCAATACAGCTGATATACAACAGAAGAGCTGAAGGTGGTACTGTACACAAGACGTGCAAAGCTTGGAGGGTTTCTCCCTCCAAGAGTGCTCTTTCCCAAACAGGGATAGGTGAGAAGAGTGACCACAAGCCTGAAGTTTCAGTCTATTGTAGGATTTCTCACCCCAGAAGACTCTCAAAACATAGAAGCAAATTACAGCAAGATCCTGGCAGAGGAAATGCCTAGTTCTCCACCAAACGGCACTGTTGGTTTTCTTTGTTCAAGTCACTCCAACCACAGTTCCCAGATTTAAGGCTCCTGCTCAGATCCACCATCACTTCCTTCTTTTCCCCAAGGCTCTCTCCCAACATGTGCCTCTTACCCTAGAGAAATAAAACACAGTGCAAACCAGAAGTTAATTGAAGGTTAGTTAGTTCTCAGTGGAAGATATAGCCCATTTTAAGGCCATTCAGCTTTGGCTCTCTTGTGGCAGTGTTTAAGTGATAGATTTCTTTTTACAGCCTAAAGAGAAAGGATACACTGATATGGACAATATCATGGCAAGGCCAGATACAGATATTGAACAAGGCTAGCGGGCATCTAGGGACAAGACTGACTCACATAAAGTCACTAGGCTCTACAGGTCTAGGAGGCCACAGCTCCAAACTGGGGCCCTACTAAGTACAGAAAATGAAGGATTTGAGATTTTTCCCATTCTCCCACAGTAGGGCCCATTAAGCTTTACCTGTCGAGGGGCAGGAGCACTGGGGGAATTATCATCTTGTAGGATGCTGAGGGGAGAGCGGCCAGTTCCACCAGATGTTGCTAGGATTTTGTTGTTGGTCTTGTATCTTACAGGCTTGCTCCCTGGTGACAGAAGGAAACACAACAGTCTGTCATGACAATGCTGTATTTTAAATGCTTCACAACCTTTCTGATCTATCTTGCCTGCCTGTGCAGAAACTATTACCCAAGGACTTCCATGTAAAGGGATCGCGCAAAGGCTGATGTTAGAAGGGAGCTCTGGAAGACATGGTCCAAACCCCCTGCTTCAGCAGGGCCACCTAGGACCAGTTGCTCAGGACCATGTCCAAATGGCTTGTGACTCTCTTCAATAGAGACTCCAAAATATCTCTGGGCAACCTGCTCCACAGCTCAGTCATCTCAAAGTGAACAAGATACTTCCTGATGCTCAAATGGAGTCTTCTATATTCCACTTGTCTCTGGTTGCATGACTGAAGAGCCCAGTTCTCCCTTCCTTATACCCTCCCTTCGGGTATTTATACCACCCTTGCTCCCCAGCTCTTCCCAAGGAGAAACTACAAGGTCCCACTGAACAAACCTCCACAATTTCAAACCTATTTCACAGACAAGAGCTGACATTTGCCTCTTGATTCTGACTAGACTGCAAACATATCTTTGCAGCTACTGACAGAAACCAGTTGGATAAAAGAACTGGTTCCCAAGAGACTGCCAGCTGCAGAGACCCGAGCCCAGACTACCTAAAGCAGTGGGAGACAGCCAAGCTGGGGAGAAGGAATAAGGCCTCTAAGCAAGCCAGCCTGGAGAAGGGCACCAGGGGTGCTGAGAGCCCCGACCATGCAGCTCCCCGGGGACACGCAGCCGTACCTCTGTTCCCCCACATCGAGTACTTACCGGAGAAGAAGCCGGGCCCGGCGGTGCGGGCTGGCCGAGCCAGGACCGCACTGGGAGACGGCGGCCTCTCCGCTGCTTCCCCCGATGGGGCGGCCACTTCCGGAGGACTCCGCCGGGCCGGCTCCTCGGCGGGGTAGGCCTCTGCCGGCGGCGCCGGCTCCCTGGGCTCGGCCTCAGTCCCGAAAGCCTCGCTGAGCTGTTTCACCAGGCGGTCCACGCTGTCTGCCGGGGAAAGAGCGACAGGATGAGGCGCTGGGCCAGGCAACCCTCCCGCCCTCCCACTGCGGCTTCACTCACCGCTGGACACGGCTCTCATGGGCGTGCGGAAGATACCGGGTGTAGGCGAACGCGGATCGCGGTCCTGGCTGGTGCTCGCCGCCAGCTCTGCGAGGCCGGGCTGAGGGCTGCTCACAGGGGAGCTCACCACCTGCAGAGAGGGCAGCGGTCGGGTTGAGGGCCGCCGGGGGAGGAGGGAGCGGCCCGCGGAAGGGCGCCTACCTCGATGGGGGTGCGCAGGATGCCGGCGCTGGGAGAGCGCGGGTCGCTGACGTGCGCCAAGTGCTGGCTGCGGGCGGGGGTGCTGCCGGAGACCCCCATAGCGGCGACCGCCGCACAGCGCTCTTACCAGGCCCCAACCGCCGCCCGGGTTCAAATCTCCCGCGCTTCCGGCAGGCGCCGCCCCATTGGCCCTCTCGCGGAGGAGGGGCCCGCCCCGCCCCCGGGCCCGCCCTCTGCCGCGCACCACCCCCGAGGGACTCCAGTTGGAGCCGCAGCCCCCTCCCGCCTCGTCCCGCCCCGCCCGCTGTCAATCGCCGGGGAGCTCCTCGGTCCCGCCCCGCTCTGCGTCGCCATTGGTGGAGGAGGTCGGCACCGCCTCCCGTGACGGCCGAAAGATGGCTGCGATTGGGCGAGCCGTGCGGGCTGGGCCGTGGGCCCGGCCCTCAGCCTCGCTGCCGGCGCGCCCGTGCTGCGCGGGATTGGCCAGAGCCCGCCTGACTACGCTGTGCTGTGATTGGCTAGGGTGGGGTTGCGGGCGGTGCCGCAGGGAGCCGCTGTCATGGCGGAGCTGAGCGAGGCGCTGCTCTCGGTGTTGCCGTCCATCCGGGTGCCCAAGGCTGGCGACCGCGTCCACAAGGACGAGTGCGCCTTCTCCTTTGACACGCCGGTAAGCGCGGCCCGCGGCCGGACCGCCCTCCCGCCCGGGCTGCCCCCCGCTCCGGCCCGCTCCCAGCGCACCCGTCCGTTGGGGTGCCGCCCGCGCGGGGCGCAATGGGACTTGTGGTTCCCCGGCGGCTTGAGCGGCCGGAGGCCGGGCGGAGCGCGGGGCCTTTGGGGACTACAGCGCCCGGCGTGCCCTGCGACGTGCCCCTCCCTGCCGCGGCGCGCTGGGGGCTGTAGTTCTGTGGCCGGAGCGGGCGTGGGCAGGTCGCTCTCCCCCTTCTGCCCGGCCCGGAGACCCCAGGGAGTTGGTGTCCTCCGGCCCTCGCTCTGCTGAGGGGGCTCCCCGAGACTCGTAGTCCGGCGGGGGGCGGGAGTCGGGTCGCTCATCAGGCCCAGCTCTGGTCGTTGTGGGGCGGACCGGGGGTCCCGCCCTGTCCGGGTCTGAGCTGCCCCCCCTGAACCCCCACCCTCACAGCGTGGCGTGGCCCGGCAGGCGGGGGGCGAGTCGATGCTGTGTCATTAAGATGGCAGTGGTCCCTTCTCCCGGCGTCTCCACCCCGCTGGCATCCCTGCTCCTCCCTCCCTATCCCCGCCTGGCCTAGGCGGACCTGGGGAGGCCCCGGCGGCGGGGGGCGAGGTCTTCCCCTTGACCTCCTTCGCAGGCGCCTATCCAGGCTGTGCCCCAGCCCACCAGATGAGGTGCGGCTGGAAGATACGGGTCCTTCCTTCGAGGAAACAGCACACAGCAGCTTGGCTCTCTTTGCCCCCCTGAGCCCCACGGTGATGCCGGTCCATGTGCTCCCTGCTCCGAGTCTATTCCAGCTGCTTCATGTTGGGAAGCAGGCTGAGAACTGTGTGGTTTCCCCCTTTTCCAGTTTCTGCATTTGGGTCCCTTGGTTTTTCAGTTTAAAAAGGATATATCTCTGCTGATTGAGTGTTGTGTTCTCCATTCTGTTTCAGCAGCAAAAATAAACTGGTCTGTTAACCTGCCTCACTGTAGTTTGGCAACTTTTCCTATGGCACTGGGAGTTGTGCTTTCAGAGTGCCATAGTTTTGCTGGTAGTGGTTGTACCATGCTCTGACCTTCTGAGCTGAGGCTGGGGCTTGCCACCTTATTTCTGACTAGTTGCTAAGTGGCTGGTATGTAGGGATGAGCTGTAGCCATGATTTAATTAACAGCGTTCCTAGAGGTAACTACCTATCTGAGCAGCTGGAATGGCATTCCTTACCATCTCCTTCCTTCCAGGAGTCAGATGGTGGCTTGTATATCTGCATGAACACATTCCTGGGCTTTGGGAAGCAGTATGTGGAAAAGCACTTTCAAAAAACAGGCCAGCGGGTCTACCTGCACCTCAAAAGGACACGTAAACCGGTAAACAATAAAAACCTATGCAGTCAGACTTGATGGGCTATGTCTCTGTGTTCAATCAAATGGAGGTTTTTCTCTTCAGATGTAACTGATATTTTTCTTGGTGGACTGAGGTACACCAGGAGTTCTTCAGCTCTTATGCTGAATTGTTGTATGGATTGCCCATGCTATTTCTGCATGGCTTCTTTCTGTTTTCAGAGTAGCTTAATTTTAAGCCTTTAGGCTTGCCACGGTTTGCCTGTCCCCCTAACTCTTATTTCCCTATTTCTTCTAATGTAATAGAAGGAAGAAGATGCCAACTCCAGTGCTGGGGACCCCCCAAGGAAGAAACCAACTCGCTTAGCTATTGGTAAGGAAGCACCTGTGTACTGTATCATCCTTGTTTTGAACCAGTCCTCTGGAGCTGCCTGGCTTTGTGGCACATCTCTTTTGCCTTTCCTTTTCTGGGCTAGTTGAAGCCACTGTCCCTGAGTGAGTTCAAACTTCACATTCTCTAGTGTGTCTTAGGTGGGCAGTTTCTGCAAAGCAGTTGTGGAGGTGGAACTTTTGTTCTGGACTCAAGGTTGCATTGTGTTTTCTGTAGATAAATGTTTTGCATCCTCTCCT